CTGTTTTTTTTGCTTCAAATGTCGGCTGATGAATGCTAATGGTGCCCGACTAAACTTAATGCAAATATATGGGAGTCCAGAGACGCCACATAAAGCTTATTCTCGATCATAACCCCATCTAAAAACATGTTAAAATTGTGCAGCAGCAGGATTCCAGTCAAACCAGTGAGTTTGGCAGTTTTGAGACATCATCTTTCATTGAAAAAAAAAAGTTTTCATTTTGCCGACGCGCATGGCTACGGCGACGCGCGCGCATACCAGAAACCGGAGACTTTTTTTTTTGGCCTAAGCTAATCCACAAATGTGTATGCACTGTACATGTTTATTTGTTCAAATCATTCAGTATAATTTGTATTGGGTTCGAAAACTGGAAATTTCTAAACTTTAAACAGGCTTCCCCACCCCAATTTTTTTTTGTGTAATAATTTACAAATGTCATTGTATTTGCAAATATTTTCATTTATCCAGTACTCTCCTTTTTCCATGTTTATCGTAATTGTATAGAGAAATGACTTAGGGGAGACAATGAACCAGTTATTATGACTTATTACCTATAAAAAAAATTAAATCAAAGAAACAAGACAGAAATTGCTTTCCTTTGGAATCCTTTCTTAAATCTCAAGTCTGCAGTTATGGCGTGAATATTATCAAATGATAATACGTTCAAGATTTGGCCCCCTTACTTTTATGGTTGGTATTTCAGGTCAACCCAGTCAGTATAAAGCAGATGCAGCAGTTTTATTCTTTCTTTTTTTTATTATTCAACAATTATTAACAATGCCCATTTGAGATCTAAGTGTTCAATGTGTAGATACAGACAAGAAAAACCGAGGGAGAACGGGCATGGGGGGAAAAAAAGGGAGAAAAGGAGCATGTTTTTCAAGTTGAACGCTTCGGGCGAACGTTGGCCTTTCCCAGGCAAGATAATACGCCTCTGGCTGGCAACTTCACAACACTGTTAAAATGTCATTGCGAGTTTATTCTTGGTGAAAAGTACCCATCATTGATCATGAGTTGCGCTGTGAATATAAACTACAGGTAACGGGCCACCTGATAGGGATGTGAAAAGGTGAAGCAAAGGCCCACTTACACTCCATGCATGCATGATGGAGTACGTCATTATTTGAGGAACGGTCCCGAACGATGTGCGATAACGTTTACTGCAACGTGCTCAGTGCTTCAGGTCGTAACTACATCTACATGTACAGTGTACATGTATGCATAAATGGGCTATTAATTTTGCATAGTATGTAATTGGGGTTTCAAATACATACATGTAGACAAGTTGAAGTAGGCCTGTGCGACTAGTCGACTAGTCACCAATACTAAAAAGTATTGGTAGTCGCGACTATCAATTTCTAAATAGTCAACTAGTCGTTTTGCCGTGATTAGTCGCAAGTGACCGGTATTGACATTTAGTCGTAACTATTGACATTAGTCCTGACTAGTATTGAAATTCGTTAGTCATCCACGCCTGAAAATTCGTAGTCCAAGTAATTAAAAATGGCCCTAAAAAGATGTTTTAAGGATTTAATAATAACAATGACGGAATATGAATGCCAATTTCTGAGGCAAAAGTGTATTTTCTAATACAATGGGGTTATACAATGAACGATATGTAGACACATACCGTTATGATTCGTCATTACTTTGAAGCACACCAAAGGCTTAATGCTTTGTAGTACCCAGACATTATTCATGTGCAGGGCCCTGTTCCAATTGAACCTGGAAAGTACATGCATGGGGAATGCTTCTGAATCTCACGGGAAAGTATGCATGTACGGGTATGTGAAATGAAAGATGATATTTGCTTATATACTAACTCCATAATATACTCATTGATCAAGTCATGTTTATTCATTACAATCTGCCTACTTTACATTACACAATATAATTATAATCAATTCTGTCAAATTACCGCTAAATAATATGGAAATTTGATCATGGCAACTTGACCTGCCAGTTGTTTTGGGGTTTTTTTTCTGCACCAAATGCTTATTACACATGCGTGGTATTACTGGATAAATAATGTGTTACTTAGTCGCGACTTGTCAACTAATCGCAAATACTGTATTTATCCCAACGCGACTATTGAAATTCACTAGTCGCCCAGGCCTAGCCTACACAAGTGGATTTTGCAGGTCCCAGAGGGCCAGCGTAGCGTCTGCTTTATACGTACATAAATCTCACTGACTGATTCACTGACTGCCCGACTGTCACAGTGACTTTAAACTGGTTACCTATCTCACTGACTGACTGTTACTTGTGACTTATAAGCCCGTCACACACCTTTCCCATTTCACCGGTTCACCGTATCACCGGTACGGTTTTTCAACGTTGCGGAGACTGTAACGTTAACTCGCACACATACATGTACCCGATTCTGTTCTGTAATCGGTCACACAATGATCAGTCACATGATGAGAAAGGAAACATCATAAACGATTTTGCCCCAAAATGAATTGTAAATCAATAGAGCAATTTTACAATTGGCAATATAGGTATTTGACACAAGCAACACACGTGTTTGCCTGAAATGTGAAATTAGCTACCGGTATTCCGGGGCGGTGTGCGGTCTGTCTTCCCCGGCCCCACGCGTGGGATAGTTTTCCCTGCGCGTGGAGCCACGCGTGGGACAAAGCGCCAAATCTGTTCCCGCATATTTTTCCCGCGCGTGATTATCGCGTGGAGCCGGTCTCCGTCTTTCTGTCACAGTGTCAGTGCCCATGTGAAAAACACTGCGGCGTACACGCGATAACCACGCGTGATTAGCGCGATAAACACGCGCTAAACCTAGCTAGTGATAAAATGTAAATAGCTTGGTATGCGTGTTATCGCGTGAGTCTAAATTCTTTCGCTCCCAGCCGTACATGTATGTATGTAGCTGACATTTGTAAATGTGCATACTGTATGTTACATGTAAAAATGAAAAACTACCTGTGCCGGTATCTGTGCCCATGTACACTAATGATAATGTGCGTACATACCGGTACTTCAAGGGCCATGGTAACTACATGTACATGTACATGTATAATTCACCACTGTAAAAATAACCCTCCAAAGAAAATAACCCCCCAAAACAAATAATATTCACAGATATAGCACCTGTGGTCTAATTGGCAGGAAACAGCACATCATACAGTCTTCCCTTCATTTACATGGCAAAGTACAGGGCACTGTTACGCCACAGGAAACCACAGAGAATGTATCGCAACTCTAAACGCGGTCTTCCTCCTCCTAACCCTGCCAATTCACATGGCAATTATTGGTCACACCAGACAGTGTTTTGAACCTAGTCATATGTTGATTGTCACCCCGGTTTTTATAATGGTATTCCTTCTGTACTTGGAGGTATGGGGTACTTGGGGGGAAAAATCCAGCCCTGTCCCAACACAACATGTACATACACTCAACCAAAAAAGAAAGTCCCCCTCTTCCAATACTTTGTCTAACTCAAAAACTACTGAGCACCTCTCGCTCAAATAACGACTAATCAGTACAAACAATTCCTTAGCAATCCAGCCATACTCTTTATTTGGCCCAAAACAGTGATAATGTGTAGGGGCCTACGAATGTATGCAATTGATGACAAATGGTACCAAGAACAGTTGCACTTCTGTATACGTGCAAGTTGTGGTTCACACTCACCTTGCACGTATACAAAAGTGCAACTTTTTGTCGGTACCATTTGTCATAAATTGCATAATTTTGTACACATTATCACTGTTTTGGGCCAAACAAAGAGTATGCTGGATTGCTAAGGAATTTCTGTACTGAACAGTCGTAATTTGACCAAGATGTGCCCAGTAGTTTTAGACAAAAAAGTAATGGAAGAGGGGGACTTTCTTTTTTTGGTTGAGTGTAGTACATGGTTCATTCTACACATTTAGGGTCCGAAATGTGATACTTTTTCCTTCCCTGTTACCTTGGTACTTTGTAATTTGCCATTCAAGTACCATTAAGAATGACTTCAAACGATTTCTTTTCATCTGTCGGGTAGGTAGTTTGCTATTCATAATCACTCTTGGATGACAACTGCATTAAAGGAGTGCATCACAATCATAAAACCACAGATGTAGGCTAGACAGGGGAAAAAGTGGACCACAAATTCATTGAATGACCCACATACATACAGTGTACATTTATTTATAGCCACAATGTGATCTGATAATATACCGGTACATGTGAATGGTGAAAAGAACTTGGTAAAAGTTTGTGAATACTCTTCCTGAAGTGAGTTTTAGAGGAATAGTTAATGAGAAAAATAAAATGTCTCTATCTTCATTCCTAACTGGTCAGCAAATTACTGGCTTTGGGCCTCTTTTTAACCCTAACTCCCTAGGCTTTTCTGCTCTAGAGGATGCAGCCTCAATCCTGCAAAATCCTCCAATTGGCCTCATGGAAAAAATAGCCTCAATCCTGCAAATTCCTCCATTATTTCTTGAATATTGTCAATGGAGGAGTGACCACTGCCTGAATCCTGCAAAATCCTGCGGCAGTGACTGTCATTACGTTGAGGCTTGGCCAGTGACATCCTGGAGCAGTACGGAGGATTTCAAGCATAATCCAGGAAAAAAATGTATGCATGACTGAGCAAAAACAGCACAAGGTCCGGCCCAAAACCTCAACAAAGTGCATCCCACGAAAACAGTAACACACTTTTGCCATGGAACCTCAATCCTCCAAATTCCTCCACTTTGGCAAAGAGGATTTTGAAGGATTCAGGGCGGTTAGGGTTAAATTAATGAATTTTGGGAGGCTGGGGTGAAATATAGGAAAAGGGAAACAAACAAAGTGGGGATAATTGTTTGTTTCTCCCCACATACCAAAAGCAAATGAGGATTCTGATATGCTTGTGTACCTGTATGTTTGTATAATGTGTAAGAATGTTTGGGTACGTTTTGTTCTGAGCAATTCACTTCAACTTGTAGGAAGCTGTCCGCAAACATTTAGGCACCGGTACAATACAACAAAATTAAAATATAACTTGAAATACTCACCAATTTGATGGCCACATGTTCATTGTTGTATAAATTTTTACCTGTTGAAAAAAATATATATTCAAAAGTTAATTTTAGTTTCAATTTTAAATCTTCAAAGCCATCTTTTTGCTTTTTAAAAATTTTTTTTTTTTTTTATTTACTTTTTTTAACCATCATAAACTACATTTTGACTGTACACATGGTACAAACTACATGTACAGGTATATGTACGGTAACATAATTTGGAAACTGTTTTCAAATTAGGTGTCACCGTTATACCGGTAAGGTTAGCAATTTCCAAAGATTATAATAAAAAAAACTTTCATTGGTATCAATAAAATTGTTATTCTGTGTTATTCTGGCAGCGTCATGGGTGTGTACCTTTTTTTTGTGAGTGCCTGGTGTGCCCATTGTTAATGCCAGACAGTGATAAAGCACATGTAGCCATTGTTAGCCACATGAGGTGATTCATGGTACTGGTTACAATAAGAAAAACCACACCATGTTGATGTATACAAGTACAGTACATGTGGATATAGCTACATGTACCACATAGGTAAATGTACACTATGGACACTTGTTTACCTTACATGTAAATTCTAATAGAAATCGTATACATACTGTACATGTATGAGTTTTTGTCATGTACGGTACTCTGTACGTATTTATGCTTTTAAAAAAATGGAAGTTTTGCATGTTTAGTAACTTATTCAGCTATCACTCTTTTTTTTATCAAACATAAGGATGTGAATTTGTGTTTTAATTTTGGAAACGTTTAGCAAATATTTTTAGAATCATTTAAACGTTTAGCCATTCACAACGACTGATGCATGCTCATTATGTCTGCAGACCAGTGTGATTGACATGATAAATCATTGGCAGTCATTGAAAATGTGAAAACTTAACTACATGTGCTCTGAATTTTACTCAAGTATTGAAGAGCTTCAAAGGTTTTGTAAATTAAAGGTATAGTCCATCATTTGTAATTTGTGCATTTTGTTCGTTTGAAGCAACAAAAGTGCTTAATATCTGAAGGATGCTGAACAACCAATCTGATGAACTTTCAGCTCAGCTTCAGCTGCATTTTTTGAGAAAACCAACATTCTAGGATCTCGATTTCAAATCAAAAGTTGCTGAATCATGTTTTGAATTGGGCCTGAATCCAGCGTCCGAGACACGTTCTCACTAGCCGATTGCAGCTATGCGATGTCGCGCACTGATCCAATGAATTATAGCAACAGCTCGCGCGTGTGCGTCGTGCCAATGCTTGCGCGTGCTTTGCCGAATAACAAAACAAACTACTAATTTGAATTTCCTACGGTGCTACTTAAGAAGCACCGTTGGAAAGGCCTTCTTTCGTTGATTTCTTCAAAATGACAACTTGCCAGAAAGAATAATTTCACAGGGAGTTTAGTCCCCTTACTATCTTCCAACCAAGTATGTTTTTCAACAATAATTACGCCAGTTACTTTTTGGATAGCTGCAAATGATGGACTCTGGCTTTAAATAGGTTTGAAAACATTGTTAATTATTTGTGCTGTGTAGATTTAACTCAAAGGAAGACTGTATGAACGGTGAACGTAGGTCCCTTTTTCGTAATTCGGGTTTTGTTTAAACATTTGTGGAAAATTTGTGAATGGAAATTTAGAATTGTTTTTTGCTTTAACGTGTAAACGTTTAAACGTGCAAACATCACATCCTTAATCAAATATTCAAATATATCTCTGTACAGCACCTGGTAGTTGCGCAACTGCTGGCTTCATGATTAGATGAAGTTTTGAAGGAATCACATGTACATGTTTGCTCTAGACCACATAAAATATATTACAAATAAAATAAACCATTTTACAATTAATTCTGAAAACATCTGTCTTCCTTGGTTGAAAAAGAATTGTGTGTTTACTGTAACCCAACCTACATGTACCTCGATATTTATGCGGCCAAATTGCCGACTTCAAACTTTTTATTGCCACATATGGCTAACAGTAACAGTTTAATGTATACAATTTTAAAAATAATTAAAAGTCTTCCCAAAAGGAGTTTTTGGTATGTTATTGGTTAAATAATAAAACAGGATAATGCAACACAATATCATTAAATGTATCCTAAAATAAACAAAGTAAGTATAAAGGCATAAAAAGGTTACAAAATAAACTTAAATTTTCTTACCCATATACCTCTCTGAATAATTTTTAGGGCATTACCATAAGCGCACATTTCTTTTTTCGCCTCAAAATACTTTGTATAACGTACCCAATGCACGAATATTGAACTTTTAAAACACCATTTTGTGCTCATGGTTTCTACACATAAAAGTGGGTATACTGTACAAAAAAAATTCAGACAAACACTCCTAATTAAAGTTCATGGTTTCCGGGTTTTTTTGGTTTTTTTTTGGTCAACGCCTTCAATGTTTATTGTCTTTCGATTCTCTTTTCCAATGAACATGACCTGTACTTGCATAACGGGTCAGCTGTTGTGGTTTTGAATAGCAAATTACAAATTCACATAATGAATAGGCTTGCAGACACACGGCCCGCCTGCCCCATCAAAGGGTTTCGATGTGAATAGCGAGCCAGGTGCTTTAGAAATCTGAGTGCGCTACATGCGAGGGAGAACATGTACAATACGTCGAAACCCAGTTACAAAACAGCAATATTAATCATCAAGATAAATGTCTACATTTAACGACCATTGTTGTCCGTGTACAATCAAGGTATGACTGTATGCGGAATAAAAGGCCCATTCAGATTTCGATACGGACGAGCCCAGCCAACCAGACGAGGATTTCTTATCTGATTATCAACCTGGCAACACCCAGACAAAGTTCACCGAGAACGATGATACTAGCAACGCAAAACACACACACCGGGACTGATTAGATGAATGGGTCAATTTGATTCCTTGACAATAAAAAAATATATATAAAAATGGTGGGAAAAAACAATGAAACTAGTAAAATAAAAATAGAGCTTTGAGGTTTTTATTGATGGAGTGTACATTTACTTAATAATATATTTGGTGGGATTTATAAATGTCATGGAATTCAAAATCATGGCTTCCCTGTCGCCGTTTTGAAGAATCACACGAGATACATATCGAGCACGTACATGTACTTAACCATGTACATGTACATGGATGTACAAATGTAGATAAAACATGTACATGTTCATGTATCTCCATTGTATTGAACCAAATGTTGTCAAAGGCTTTAACATATATTAAATTATCAAACTGACATAAATAGCGTATAATATTTTTAATCTTTTGCAAACTGTCTAACTTCCGAGAACTCATTAATTATGCACTTCCAGATGAACCCTGTGTTTCACATGATCTTTACTATTCATCATCATCCGTAATGACACCTGACATTTAGATAAAACTTTTATAATATATTGGGTAAATATTCATAGACTTTTACACATGTACATGTACATGCATGGTTGTAATGTACATGCAGGCTGTAATGTACCGGTACATGTACATGTACATGTATACAAACAAACCTTCTTAAATTTGAGAATTAACTTCTGCTTGATTTTTTTATCAGAACAGGGGGAATAAAGCTGTCCTCCCAAATGTTTGATTCTGTTGGTTTCAGTAGGTTTCATATTTGTTGCTGTTAGATTTTGTTAGACTCAGCAAAGTTCCAATGGAAAACAGAACACTGAGGGGCCAGGCTTGGGGTAATTCCTCAAGCTGGTTGGGCAATTTCAAGAAGAACATTTGCACAGGTACGATTATCCAAAACCCTTGTGTCCTAAATCCTTCAAAATCCACCAGGGGCAATCCGAAAGTTTGGGACTCTCAATACTGTGCATGAGAGTCCCAAACTGCATCAATCAATTGTGTCAAAAGAAACATCTGGTACCTAATCTCCATTCCTACACATTCTCTCCATAGTCATGCCACCAGATTAGTAGCATCAGAATAGGCTTCAAATTTTAATTACTTTGTATCACTCTCTGGTGCAAATTGTTGAAGAAACGTCTCCTTTAAAAATTGAATTGAGACCTCAAACGTGGCTGGTAAAATACTTAGGTCCTCGTCTTTGCCTCATGCAAATTTTGGAGAATTTTGTCGGCTGAAAGGTGAGTAAAATAGGCCAGATTTTGTTTTGCATGTTGTTCTCAACTTAAAGTCTCAGTCTGGAAATGGATGGGCACTGAGAATTTCTATTGTTACGTCAATAAATGTAGTAAGTATTTTCGTCAGAGGTTCGTAGAAAATCTCGTCATGAAAATCTGGCCTAGCTTTTGAAAGATTTGGAAAGATTTTAGAAGGTACCAGTAGAGGCCCACATAATAATGTTTTACATGGAGCTTGATGCTCCTTGGAATTTGAAGGATTCAAAAGGGTTCCTGTAAACATGTCAGGGGAGTTAATGTTAAATTATTTCAGAAAAATGACCCAAACAATTCTCACTCACCTAGTCTCAGCTCACCAAAGTTGCCACACCCAATCTTCTTTCCGACTCTAAAATTGGGCCCGACCATGAGCACGCCAGTGTTGGCGGGGTTACCAGACCGGGTCTGGTGGGACCCCCGACTACTCGTCTTGGACTTGCGCTTGGGGTCATTGTCCATTTTATCTCCCCTGTTAGGCTGCATATTGGGGTAGGTCCGTTCGCTTCCAGTCTAACTCGAAAATCACAAGAACAAAATCGTTCCAGCTACAGCTGGCTTGAGGACTGGGAAAGGATTAACAGAAACGTGTCCAACCGTCCGTCCTGTGTTGATGAGTTCCAATGCAGACCATTTTCCAGGGTGTTCGTCAAAATAATCCAAGCGATGATTTATCTTCACTTATAGTATCCTATCGTTCACTACATAGCTGTAAAAAGGTATATCCGAGTTTGAGAGACCTCATATGTACTCCCGAGGTGAAACGCTATAATATATCCATGGGTAGAAACACGCAGCTACATCAGACGGAGGGACCTAAACATTTAAAAGAAAAGACAAAACAATTTAATGAGGTCACATCAATCAATTTTTTTTTTACTTAGCTCACTAAGGTGTTTTTCATCAACAAAAAAATCAAGTGCTTCTGTAGGGGTTCCCGTTTCTTGATATTTTGCACAGCGGGCGTCTTCAACGGCACTTGTGGTTTTACAGATTTAAGCATGATGTATGCGCGGACCAACAGTGCTTAAAGGGAATATACATCATTTGCTTTTGCTGTAATTTTCAGAAATGGATGGAATTGGGGGGTTGGAAATATAAAGCAAATATAGTTACACTGACTTTTTGGAGGTTTTGGGTTCGAAAATGCTATAAAAACCTAGAAAAACGATCATTTTCCTGTAGTCTGGTTCCCTGACTCCATATAAGAAGAAACAGAGCAGTTTAGTTACATTGGGGAATTGTAAGGTCAGGGAACCAGTCTAGCTGGCTCGTACCCGTTCATAGGTTTGTAATCGATTGCAAACAAGTGCAATGGTCAATTGGGTCCAGTATTTGAAAAAAAAGCCAGTTGTTTCCAACGCTGATTGGCCGATCAGCGTTGGAAATTGATACAAAAATACCACTTTTCTTGAAAATGACAGTATACCAGGTGCCATAATTTTACAGGATGCTTTAGACTGTCATTTACCAACATCCTATTAAGGTATTTCGCAAAAACTTGGTAGTTTTATTTTTCGATGTTTGCAAATGTTGTATATTCCCTTTAAAGAACGTCTCTTAACTGTTCGCTCCAATTTGTCTTCAAGCTTTCTGATGCTTACTTTTTCTGTGTGCTGCTGTAAAGTCGAAGCAAAGTCATACGGTTCATTTTAGTATTTTCATTCTCATGATTATAATAACATCGTCTGATGATTTTTTAAATCAGATACCAGGTTGTGCAACGTTTGTGCACATTCAATGAATTCATATCATATTTTATTGTATTGTTTGATTGTTTTGTTAATTTCAACTTAAACAAAGTCATCCCAACTGTTAGTTGTGTGTTATTGACAAGCATTATTTAGCACAGCCACGGAAGAAAACTTTTTATGACTCTTTATGATGTCTTAGTCATTCATCACCAATAAACATGTCATCATGATTCTATTTTTACAGAGTTTGAAGTGAGTTGACGAAAACACACTAATGCCAATGTGTCACTGACGAATACTGACGCTGGCTACATGAGTTTAAAGCCAATAATGCCAGCTTCGAGTCAAGTTGGCTCAGGCCGAGTAAAAAAAAAATTGTTTCTGGTCCGGGCGTTTTTCAAATGAAGGAGGCGGCCCCCCTTTTTCCCCCAATATGGCGGATTTTCCGAAGATGGCGGATGGATTCTTCTATTTTCTTGACTCCTTTGCTGATACAAATATGTGTTTGAAGGAGTCGTCACCATTTCTAAAATAGCTACAATTTTGGTGGAAACAAATAAAAAGATCGTGATATATTGAAAATATGTTTGCAAAATTACAAATCTATGTATGAATAATAAAAATTTTAAAAATTAAAAGAGGCAGGTGGGGAAAAGGAAGCGGGCGAGAATGAGAAACAGATTAATTTTTTTAACTGGCCTAATGCTGACACCATGACTACATGCACATGCTCAGTTGGACTTGCTTGCTTAATTGGTCACATGTATATTTTAGTCTTATTTTAGCCGACACATAAGTAAGAACCATTTACAGCAGAAAACATGGTGGGCTTACCTTAAACAACTGTACGTATACATGTAATTCAAACGCACTTCGACATTTATGTGTCCCCATACGTGTGTTTCACTCGTAAAATAAGGTTGCATGATTACAAAATGTACCACATGCAGAGAGAAACAATGATATGGAAGGTTCAAATAGCCACAATGTCCGGTACCTCATTATAATGGTCTCAGTTGCGTGTTTTCTGAAACATGTCAATACCTTGTTAGTCATAAGTAGAGGACAATTTTAGTAGAGTTGTCATTAACAGACAAGCATTGACTCACTATAATCGAGAATGTCTGAGAAATACTTGAGTGAAAAATGCAAGATGTTTTTTCTGTTTATCAAAGTTTACTCTAAAAATTAATAGTTAGTCTTTTACCTTGTTGCAAGGCCTAAACTTGCTGTTGTTTTTTTTTCAAGAATGCAGAGTGATCAAAATTATTTTCATAGCGACTGCCAATCTGCCATGCCAAAAGATTTCCGGGGGAACGGACGAACGATCAGATTAATGTGTGATTGGCCCACTGAATTTTCCGTGTTATTATTGTGCTTGTTAAAAATTTAATTGGTAGAATATTAATTTTGATCATATTGAAAGCTGAAGATCCTACATAATTCTTTTACTTGTTTTTACGTTTTTTTATTTAGTGTTCAGAGTAACTTAAGTCTAAGCTAAGGTCTCCCAATAGTGTGATTCAAAGTCTGAATCGTGAGCGCAAAATATGCTATAGGAATCACTTCCGTATGGCACATTTTGCAGGTGGAAGGTATTGTGAAATTGTTGAATGACGTTGTTGAACTGACTGAGTCTTCGTGTGGAACTTGACTGTCACACATATAATCTGACAAGGCATAATGGCCAAGTCCTTTTTGGAAACACGAAAATGAATAAAACTGCTGCAAACTGCTTGCTGACTGGATTGACCTGAAATGTAAAAATTTTAAAAAGTCAAAGAGGGCTTTACGCTTTGGTCCTAGCACTAGTATTGGTCAAAGGCAAAAACAATTTTGTCTTGCAACAATTTCGTCTTGAGTTGAAACTCGATGACACTCTATACACCAATACATCCTGAAATAAACATTAGCACTGATTAGAGAGAAGAAAAATAAAACATGTGAAATGAGCAAATTAACATTCATAATTTAAGTTTACCTTTCTGGCCCCAGAAAAAAACCCCAAATACAATAAACAATGCGAAACATCACACTGACTGATTTAAACAATTATAAACTGTTGAAAAGGGATAAAAAAAAATTAAAAAAAACCCCCATATTTCTGGCAATATTAAAAATTACAAAAAGATGAATTCACTTCAATTCAGTGACAAAAGACACTGTATGTTTTATGAAGTTAATACAGAAGTTACTACTTGCGTGATAAAGAACAGCTAGCGAAGGATTTTGTCACAACAAATGATGCTCAACTCAATTCTCAAGCGTCATGAACATGATGAATGTTGATTGGCACTGACCGCTGCACTGTGCATGCACAGCAAACGGTCAATACAAATCAAGCATGACGGCACTTCCTGTTGCCATGGGCGGACATCCTCTGTAACGAACCCAGATCTTCTTAATTTCACAACCAAATGTGCACTCGATATCTCCATTATCACTCACCCCAATTGGAATAATTTGTTTGTTTATTAATGTGTAAAAATCACCAATTCTCGAGCCTACCTTTTCCGTTTCCTTGCGTTAGTTAAAAATTGCACTCCCAAATCGGGCGAGATGACGTCATGTCCCATCGCGGGTCACAAACAAAGGTCATCGAGCATGCGCCAACCACCGATCAAACATGGCGGCTGTTTTCAAATTTACCGGAAACTTGTTTCAGCGCATATATCGCGGCATTTAAGACCGATAAAAGTATCTTATGGTATTACAGTATGGTGACGAGGGAAAAGTTTCTCATTGTCGTCTCGATTCTGGAAGGTAAAAAATAGAATAACGTCGCCTTCATTGTTAAAATGGAAACAAATATAGAAATGAAAGTGCTGGCCGGTTTTGGTTTTGCAGTGTCAACATTGAGGGCGCTATTTCTTGGGAATTTGCTGTATACTTTACTTGTTTTAACTTTGAAGTACTGAGTAGGCCTAAGTTGTTGTTTTTTCTTTTTGGGGGAAAGAATGTATCCCTGACACATGTTTTTTCATCATATATTATCTCAGTGAAGGTCAGTCATTGAAAAATGTTGAAAAGACATGAATTTGGTAGGGGGCAAACATTTTCAATTTTGTTAAAAAAAAGTTTGAAAATGCACTCAGCTCTTGATCCATAGATTTTGTACACAACCACACATGTGGCGTCAGGATACTACATCTGTTTCTTTTTTCTTTTGAGTAACAGCTCATTAAACAACACTTAAACTTTGTTTAAGCATGACTTTAATTTGAAAAAAAAATCCTGCAAAATTAGGGTTTCTATTTTTTTTTCTTTTCATTTTTTTTTATCATGCGTAGGCCGCCTATGAGGCATTCATTCATCATTGAAATTGCCTTGACCACAAATGGAATGTTGTAGTAACTTACCAAATGACCAATGACAATCTGCCGGGCTGATATTTCCAATTGTTAAGTTACGGGCCCTACTTTCATTTGAAGCTCGCGAGTGTTTTTATCATTCCTAAATGATGTTTGCATTTAAACTTTAAATCGTCTTCTTTTAATTTTTAACAATCCTGTTTTTAATCATTCTGAATAGTATTTTTTTGCTAAAAAATGAAAATTTCTTTTCAATTTTGCAATTAATGCCATGTGAATCAACACAGTTTTGTGCATTCACGGTGCATCGCAGTGATCACCATTTCTATTTTCGCGTTGCTTGTTGGTTGTGGTCTTTGTCAAGGTTTTTACCACAGAATTTCCCTAAAAGAAATCAAAATACTGCAAAAATTTCCACAAAATTCCTGAATTTCCTGTTGGTTTTGCTCAATAGTAATTAGTAGGAGAGTCCAATAACCTAATGATGTATAATGTTCGTTCTATAGGAACAGTGCTGTAACTTCATAATTACCCTGATTTAATGACATGAAATGTAGCATAACTTACTTTTCCTTCATTCTTCACCCACACACTAGGGAGAAAGTTCCCCAAACGGTCTCGCCACCAGCTACTGATAGAGACACGCTTTGATGGGGAGCACCTGGCCACTGACCCTGTGGCGCACACTGAAACACCTGAACTATGTACTGAGTTAGCTTGGGAGGTAAATTACGATAAGTAATATACCAGACGATATCAAATGAAAAAGGATTTTTCACACTAGAGCCTCTCAACCCAGGTTGAACTCAACCCTGGGCAAACCCACTGCAACCCCGGGTTGAATTTTTTTATTTATCAACCCTGTGTTCAACCCCGCATCGTTTCACACATGTTTCATGCAAACTGAGCGTATTTCACTCGGCTACTACTGTTTTGAACCCTGGCGAGAGTTGCAGCCCGGATTGAAAATCTCAACCCTGGTCTGGAGCAGCCAAGAAATGTCATATTTGTTCAACCCGGGGCGAAGTCAATCGCAGGGTTGACACAGGGTTGGCTCAGGGTTGGAAATTGTCAATTGTCAAGTGTGAAACACTGCATGTTTTCAACCCTGTGTCAACCCAGCGTCAACCCTTAGATTTGGAGGACTAATAAAAGGTTACTAGGTTTTGCAAAGTTGTGGGTTTAGCAGCTCTTAAATTTGAGATCTACTTTTACGAGTTACTCAATTTGTGACTGGATTTGTTTTTTGTAACAAGAGTAACATAATTAGATTTAACAATTGTTTTATTTATTTGTGAAGTGTCCATGAGTATTTGAGATAACGATCTCCGAACCATGCACAATGGGTAAAAAAAAAAGCTAATTATTTGACTTTTACAATTTGCCATAGTTTCTGCATAGGTCTGTCAAACAGTTGTCAAATAGATTTCTTGGATCTTTAATCTTTTTATTTTTCATTTGTGGTGACACCATCTTTGTGGTGTTTCTGTTCCCCGAGCAGGTTAGCAAGAAGGCCTTACACCAGCATCGCTTGCAGCGCACCCCCATCAAGCTGGTGTGCTTTGCCCTGGACCCGGCCACTAACGCCAAGGAGAATGTGGGCTACGTTATGCTGGACCTCAGGACGGCCATAATGCAGGAAGCCTCACCGGCTAAAGTCCCTGTGGTATGTCATCGTAAAGGTTGCCATGTAACCCATCACCGCTTTCACCAACATTATCTTATAACTTAAAGCCGGAGTCCATCATTTGCAGCTATCCAAAAAGTAACTGACGTAATTATTGTTGAAAAACACACTTGTTTAAGGGGACTAAACTCCCTGTGAAATTATTCTTTCTGGCAAGCTGTCATTTTGAAGAAATCAGCAAAAGAAGGCCTTTCCAACGGTGCATCTTAAGAAGTACCGTTGGAAATTTCCGTTATAATAAAGGTGTTTTTTTTAATTTGGCGAAGTGCGCGCAAGCGTAAGATGCACACGAGCTCGTGGTTGCTATAATTCGTCGGATCGATGCGCGACATCGCGTAGCTGCAATCAGCTCAATAAGAATGTGTCTCGGACGCTGAATTCAGGCCCAATTCAAAACATGATTCAGCAACTTTTGATTTGAAATCGAGATCCTAGAATGTTGTTTTTCTCCAAATATACAGCTTAAGCTGAGCTGAAACTTCATCAGGTTCGTTGTGCAGCACCCTTTTTTTAGATTTTGAGCACTTTTGTTGCTTCAAACGAACAAAATGCACAAATTACAAATGATGGACTATACCTTTAAGCACTGAATATATATATGTCTGACAGGATGTGAGAAAAGATGCAAATGCTTGCACATGTGGGACTCGAACCCATGACCTCCTGCTAAACACTGTCTTCTCAGTGCCATCTTAGAGCTTGTGAGCAAAAAAAAAACCAACTAATTGTCGTGTTGGGCTAGATTCGAACCCAGAACTTCTGGCTTACGAAGACGTGGAGATGTCTTAACCACTCAACCAACAAGCTTTTTAAGAGTAGGCATTCTGTGTGAAATTTGATTTGGACCAGCCACAGTGAGAGCCTTATCTCCTGCACTGACAAGTTATGGCTGTTCAAATTTCACATTAATCGACATCAACAAAGTAAATACTGAGAAAAATGCCTTCAAAGTACCAATTTTTTTTATTCGTGAAAATGAAAGATGCCAGTTGTTTTTCCTTCAACAAAATTTGTCCACGATTTTTATACTATTTCTTTAAAATATGTCTAGTAGACATGTCAAAGATTACAAATATCAATAAATCCTAAAATCAAAAACAAATCACCTGAATTTGGTTTTTGCATTTTTCTCCACTAAGACCTGTCCCCAGTTCTGTCTCATTTTTGCCAGAATGCCAGAACGCCATTTTTGCCAGAATTAACAATGAGTTTGTTTCCCTTCCTCCAGACAAGCAAGTGGTATCCCTTGTTGAACACCAAGTACAACCGGCACAAGCCCCAGCTGAAGGTGGGCGTGTCCCTAGAGGCGGACACACAGGCCAAAGAGGACAGTTTCAGGGCAAAGGCTGCCCCTCCGAGGAGGGCCCCAGGTATGGCATAATTATTGTCAAATTTTATTTTCAATCACCTCACGGCTAACAGTAACACCCGTGTCTATGACAAGTGGATTCAGTCGCTTCCATAGGTGCTTGTGTAAATGCCAGCCATAGCCAAGTTATTTGGACACAGCCGTAGATTCTTGTGAGCTTGAAAGCCATTTGGATCGCATGTTTTTGGTAAATCCACAGTTCAGCAGTTTCAAGTCCAGCATAGACAGGTATGGCTTTTTTTCCTATGGAAAGTATAACTAATTCCTCAGCCCGTCTAGACGTATGCAGTTTTCCCTTCTGGACTTCCCTGTCACACATCTGTTTCTTGGGTTTTGTTCAATAGGGCTCTCTTTCTGACCCATGTGACACGGCCTAATAGGGTACCAGAAAGTCAGTTTCGACATTGTAGTAGGCAAAGATCATGTAGCGCCGCGCACAGTAGGTAGTAGGCAGGCCTTCAAAGCTGTGATGGAGGGCAAAAATTGTGAAAAACATGTGGAGCCAACACCCAGCGCTGGGTTGGCACAATTATGACAACTGTATACTGCACAGGTAGTGACCATATAATTTTATGCCATTGATAAAGAATTCATTTTTTTAAATGTGAAAGTCAGCCCTTTCGTCCTGTTTACAAAGCACGGTAGTGGCAGACCACGGGGAAACCAGATGGTCACGTGGTACTTGGACGTCATACGATCGGAACCTATATCATTTTTAACCCTTCAGCAATTTTGACTCGGTACCTGTTTTCGTTTGGTCACTCAGTAGCAATGTAGCAAAAAAGCAAACACTCAAGTAGCAGTGTTCTAGTCAAGTCTGTCACAAGTCAGTCACAAGTCCCCCAGTCCCAAGTCAACTCACAAGCTGTTCAAATGAACTTTGACAAAATTAGCCTTTTGTAGTTATTCATCCCCTGTTGCTTGTGACTGAACTTGTGATATACTTGTGATGTTCATGTACCCGAGTACAACACTCCAGTACAGTCCAGAAGTTTTCAGATTCTTTCCTTACCTCATTCAAGGAATTTCAAACTTTCTTCATCAACAGGCATGCCGGATGAAGACTCCTCCGATGTGGAGATAGACCCAAGTTTTCTCAAGCCCATTCTGAATGACACGGATGGCTTTTACCAGATCGGGCCTACTGACCAATGCACCGAAAGTTTCGTGTTGTCTGTCACCATTGCCTATGCTGCAAATCTAGCACAGGTACCCACTTCAATTTCCAAATCTAGCGCAGGTACCCACTTCAAAGTTCCCATTACTTTAATATTCTCAACTGTGTATGCAGTATATGTTATTTTATCTTCAAGCAAACTTGAATCGTGAAGCCTGATTGGTTGATCTATGGCAACAACAGTGTGATATGATCCCATATACAGCGGCGTAGCCAAAGGGAGGGGGGGGATGGGGGGCGCACGCCACCCTTTAAAAAACATTTTTCGCCGCCCAGTAGCGCCCCCCCCCTGGAAATTTGTTAGTCTTATAAGTGACCATGGTTGGGTTAATAACAGAAATTGGGCATCCTCCCCTAACATCCAGCCCCCCCCCCCCTCGCCCCTCTGTGGTGAAAACCATGGCTATGCCGCTGCCCATATACCACCATCCATACTGCACTCCATGTATCGAGCTATTCCTACTGCACGCGCTTGTGATAGGATAACCGCTGAAAAGTCCCTACAGCGTGCACATTCTGTCTTTAATGTGCATCAAGTTTGATTGAAGATAAAAGTTGTTATCCCAAAATGTAGTGTGTCTGTGTTCCATATGCCACTTTTCTTCCGGCCTCGTGGCATGTGGGACACAAATGGACTACATTACTCCCGTGTTCCACTCGCACTCCTGGGATAACTAATATCACAGTGTTCAATATCATCTGTGCTGGAAATCATTTTATTGAAGCTAGTCCAATAAATATCTTTTATTACTTTTTTGTTTCAATTACCTTTGCATGCATAAACTTGTCATAAGCAAAGCTTTGAGTATTATTTTTGTTGCATCAACAAAACGTGTCGCACGATCCTAGCACGAAGTATGAAGGGTTTTCTATCTAAATTCTATCCAACACTGTTTTGTTCACCCAAGGCTGTGATATAAATATAAAATTGATGAAGGGGCTTTAATAAAAAGCACATTGAAAACACTGACACGGGCATAAAAAAAAGTAAAACAAAAAAATCATTACAAACAAGTGGACAAAACTAATAATGTAAACTCTGCCAGACTCAAATAACAAATGTCGCCACTTTCAAGCTTTTTACTACATTTATTTCAGCTTGTACCTTCCAACATCCCCCTTCCGTCGAGAGACAAAGGTTTCTTCTTCTACTACTCCCTCTTTGGTAACGATGTCACCAACGAGCCGTTCCACGACCTGCTGAATGCCAGCTTCCCAGCCGAGAGGGCATCGGTCCGACTCCGCAGCAGCGTGGCAGTGCTCAGGATGATGCTTGCACGGGAACCGGCACTCACGGTGGGTACCGCTCAAGAGACATCTTCATTTGCATCGTTCAGCACATATGTTGGGCACGATCGGTCGATCTGCACGATCGGTCGATCTCGCTGCGCTTTTGGTCAAATGTGCCACCATCGGTCAATCTCACCGCCATCAGTCGATCATCTTTCTTATTCATGGCTCTGGAGGATTGTTTTGAAAACGGAAAGTAAAGTCTGAGATTTCCTACAGGATCGACTGATCGCACAAGTGCATTTCTTCTTGATCAAGTGATAGCTCAGATCCACTGATCATGCCCAACACGTAAATGTCATCCATTTAAGTTGTTTTTTTTGTAACCACAGTCCAAACCACACTCGGACTTTGGTCATTGGTCATTGGTTGAATGTTGCAGTTGTACTTAGTTGCTAAGGTTGCCTTCAACTATTTTTAAAGGATGTTACCGTCATAGAAGTCACCAGCAACTTTTGATGATTTCAGGTTTTGTAAATTGTTCACACCCGTGTTATTTTTTGTAAGGATTCATCAAATTAAGACAAATAACGGGATGAAATGTTTGCAGTAGGCGCAAACAAAAACTCACAATACCAACATTGTCCTCTGATATGCTCATAGAATGATGTTTTACCAAATTAAAGGAAAACTGTGTGACGTGAAATCAATTTCCAGTTCAGCGCTTGGACTGAGACGGGTATGGTCCAGCCACTACAGGTATATAGGCCTGTCGACCTTTGAAAGTTTTGACCATGATGTTAGATACCTGCATATTGAATTTTGGAGAATCCAGAAGGGCAATTCCACGGTTACTCACGTTACATTTTTGATGTACTTTTGAGTTTCCTTGGGCTGTAATTACCTTACTGAAAACGTTTAATAACTGTTATCCCCATGGTAGATGGAGTAGACCTAGACCTACCTAAGCACCAAAGATGACATCCAGAAAAATGTGTTATGTATGATAAATAAGACGCACAAAATCAGTTACTCACGTTACGAAAATGTAATGTGAGTAACCGATTTTGTGCATCTTGTTTATCATACATACATACGTTTTTCTGGATGTCATCTTTGGTGCTTAGGTAGGTCTAGGTCTACTCTATCTACCATGGGGATAACAGTTATTAAACCTTTTCAGTAAGGTAATTACAGCCCAAGGAAACTCAAAAGTACTTCAAAAATGTAACGTGAGTAACCGTGGAATTGCCCAGAAGGTCTTTTTAAAAAATGCTTCAGCAGCTGCAGCAGCTGAATGTGTTATTTCAAGTCATAGCCAAGTAATTCAGAGTTTCGGACGCATCCTATATTCTGTACTTGAGGAGTTAACGATAATCCCATCTCTCACAGTTGCATCTGTGCTGCGGCGAGCAATCCCTGGGCAGTGCCGAGATCCCCTTGAATTCTCTCCTGCGGCCCCACAGCGACGCCATCAACAAACAGCCCCTCATCCTAGAAGGGTCCTTCCGTCTTGCCCCTCCCCCACTCTCCCAGCCGGCGATACCCCGGGGGATGGTAGCAGCACTGCGTGCGTCGGGGTGTCTGTCGCTCTACGGAGGGAGGAGATACCACTACAGCCCGTCCTACCAAAGGTAAGAACTTGTCAGCAAGTTCAAAATTTGAAAACTGTGATGTGAGGAAAAAAATTGAAATTGGTTTTGAAAATGTTTGGTTAAGCATTTTACTGATGTGATCTCTTTATAAGCACTAAATGCTGCACGCTGTCTGAGAGGGCGTAAAAATAAATTTATAAGTTTGCGTAGGTGGGGCTCGAACCCACAACCCTTTATTGAGTAGTGCAGATTTAATGTTGAACTCAAGCAGAGAGCTTGTCAAGATAAATGGCCATTTTAAATCTGATACTGTTTCTTTTCTGTTGTTAAATTTCTGCTCGGAGATTTGCTCATTTGAAACCTCAAAAATAACACAGTGAATTGGAGAATGGCATTATAAATAATATTTGAACAATGATATTCAACATTACTCATAATTTGTATGATGACTGTTGACGGCTTATTATTTGTTTATTTGCTGATCATGAACTTTTCTTGGATTGAATTCGAGAAAATAAGTCAGTTAGGTATTCCTAAATAGTCTGGTGCACAACAATTCCATGATTTTTTTCCAGGATAAACGCGGCAGATAAATAAATGCACACAAGGCTATGGGGGATGTGGTAACCAAATCTGCATTGTGTAATTTTTCTTGCAATCGAAAAGAGATGTAAACTTTTGTTCGCACAAAAGTTTGGACACACCAGACATCTAAAAACATTTCGTTGTCCAAACATTTTTGTGTGGGCAAAATGTTACTTGAGAACACAACGATCTCTTCAATTTTGCTGGTACCCCACTATGCTTTTACTATGAAAGAAAAATCGTCAAATCTTGATGTGCACATGCGCAGTTGGAATACCGAACTGGCTTATTGTACGATAAAAAGCAGTCTGTGGAATATTACAGTTCATCTTTTTATCATACTGTTCATTCTAATGGTAAGTAATTTACCTCTCTACCTCAGGTGCCCTCCTCTCAACCCACCTCAGCCCCATCTAGGATTCCTCCACCTACTCCCCCTCACCTCACCCCTCCAAAGCCCCCCGGCGATGGGCAGGGTAGACCCCCACAGCAGCCCGCCAAAGAAGGGCCCAAGTGTCTGAACTCACCAGCCGGTGGGAGTCAGGATAGTTACACAGAGCCTACGGATACCAGCAGGACGGATGCCGATGCAGGCAGTATTCCTGAGGAGGAGGTCAAGAGAGGTGACAGGAAAGGTGAGTTGATGAGATGACGATGAGGATGATGACAAATGGTGAAGGTGGTGATAATGGTTGGTGATCTTAATAGTGATGATGGTGAAGATGATGATGGTGATAATGATGATTAGGCCCCCCAAAAAAATATATTCGGTCTCTGGTCAGACCAAAGTTCCGGAATTGATGCGGGGACGCGGCCTTTTTTGTTTTGTTTTGTTTTTTTCTTTTTTTCTTCAAGCTTGGATTGTACAGACAAGGTGGGGTACTATTTTGCGTTTTTGGTGTCCTCATGTACATTGGTGTCCTCCATAATTTGCCTTGGTGCTCTCGATCACTTGCCTTGGTGCAATTTCCCATTCCTTGGTGCTCTTTGGTAAAAAAAAATTGAGGAGGTGCGGCAATGGGAGACTTTCCAATCTCCGCGAGTCACCGAGAGAGGGCGCTCATTACCGGGTAAACTACACGAAAAAAATCGTCTGAAGTTTACTTGCATAACTTGTGTACATTGCGTATCGACGTCGGCGCGGTTTTCGACTTAGCTTGCTGTAGAAAATCACCCGCTTCTCATACATAATTATGCCAAATACTCCATGTGCTGTGCCGACGTGTTCAGGAAGAGGTGGACATGAATTTCCAAAGGAAAGAAAGAGGTGTAATGCTTGGCGAGTGGCCATACGACGGGTGAAAGATGACACAGGCCGGTCATGGTGGCCGTCTCTAAGTGATGTTGTCTGCTCGGAACACTTCATAACATCTGACTATCAACAGTTCGGAAAGTCTGGTAAGTTACTTTTTGTCGAGATTTAGGCCTTAACGGGCCTCCCATACTCTAAATCAACCATTTATGATTATTAAACCCATGGACTTTGGCAACGTTAAAGTTTACTAAACGTTGACGTTTAACTTTGACCTGATTTACGTACATGTATGATGTAGAGTAGTAGTTAGTAGTAATAGTGGGGTTTCAATCCAACTCTGGGAAAGATTCCCATATCTGGCCACCTCTCATTTTAACCTTCAGTGACCTATTAGCCATCAGAAAGTGATAATATGTCCTAAAGAGTCAAATTTAGCAGAGAAAATATTGAAGTATTTATTGAGAAAACACTTAAAAATGTCCAGACCAGTCTCATAGGGTTTGTGCACAGGGTGTTCAGTGATGGCCAGATATGGGAATCTTTCCCTGACGGATTACCAACTCCGACCCAACCATGACCAACTCGGGACCAACTCGGAACCAACCATGACCAACTCGGACGCATTGTGAGGACATGTTTTCAGTCATTCGATTGGAAAATGTTTGACCAAAATCATTGACAATGACAATGATCCTGCATAAAGACGCACTCAAGATACAACCTGAATCACCTAGATTGGGAGACCAGACAGTTTAATAGCTCAATGGATGAGCCAGTTGCACATTATCAAAGTATGAGCAACTTAGTATTCTTGGATGGGAAACAGTTTCATGTATAGTCCTTGGTTGGATGGCCGACTGAGATCAATGTGGCATTAATCTGAGGCATATAGAAGGCTTCCTGTGTGTCATCTGTAGGGTCGCGTCCTGTGGATGGGACGTTAAGCTTGAGGTCCCATGTACTAAGCCTTATGCATGTAAAAGAACCCAGGATACTTATCGTGAATTAGCAGGGGGGATGGCAGCCCCAATTAACGTGAGTGTATCATCCGCTTCCCTTCATCAGCGCCTTATTTTGGCTATACCAGACATTGCTGCACTATATAAATACTGTGTGATTAGTATTGGAGTAAAACTAAAAGGCAGCAGAACGATTTTCAAAGTGGGGGGGGGGGGGGGGAGTTGTGAGACCATCTACCATTTTAGTGATGCTCACTGTGTAGGACCTGTCAAAAGTGAGGGGCATGTCCCCCAGTCGAAAAAGTGGAGGGGGGGATGCCCCCTGGCCCCGCTGCCGTTGATTAGAGTTGGGTCTCCCAAGCTGTGAAACACCCATCGTGAGACTACATTTTGCATATTTACCCCTCAAAAAGTCTACCAAACATACATACATAAAATGTTCATCATTACATATTTCTTTTTTTATTTTTGCAGGTGTCAAACTGCAACGAAGAAAGTTGAAACCAGATGCTGTTCCAAGCCAGTTCTCATGGACAAAGCAACCAACTTCTGCAGTTGTCTCAAGGACGAACCGCTATACAGAACGCTGTGCAAAGAGAGAGGGTACCTGTGATAGGAATTCTGATGAGCTGTCTCTGGATGTTGATGTTGACCTTGATCTGGACATTGCAATGGTGGTAAATGTGAACAGCGAAGAACAAGAAGTACATGACCAGGCCATCCAAACGGACCTGCCAGAAACCCTACCAGCATCAGTATCTGCACATACACAGACAGACTCTGGGACTAAGGTACAGGGATTTACAATTCATGATTTCAAGAACGACCCCAAAGGAGTACACTACTACACAGGGCTTCAAGACTATCTCAACTTCATGGATGTACTTGCTTCGCTAGGACCATGTGCCTTTGAGTTAACATATGTTAATGGAAAAAGGCCATCCTTATCTGTACCAGATCAACTATTTTTGACTATAATTAAATGCAGGAGATATACAGTCAATTTTGAATTGAGTCGAATGTTTAAGATCAGTAAATCGGAGGTATACAGTATCTTTGCAACCTGGATTAGATTCATGCATCTTCAGTGGAGAGAGATAGATATTTGGCCAGATAGTGACTTGGTCAGCTTTTATGCTCCGTCTGATTTCAAGGCCAAGTTTCCAAGCACTCGAACTATCCTAGATGGCTTTGAATTCCCAGTCAAGAAGCCTAAGGCACCTGCTGCCCAGCAGGTAACATTTTCAACTTACAAAAACCGTAACACTGCTAAAGCACTGGTTGGTATAACACCAGGAGGTTTGATGTCCCACATGTCCGGTGCATATGGTGGTTCGACCAGTGACAGACAGATGATCGAGAGGAGTGGATTAATTAATAAAGTCAACAAAGGTGATTCAATAATGGCTGATAAAGGTTTTGATGTACAGGACTTGTTTGCACCAGTGGATGTGACAGTGAACATTCCTACTTTCTTCAAGAACAAGAACAGAATGACAGGTGAATCTGTTGCAAGAGATAGAAAAATATCTAGCAAAAGAGTTCATGTTGAAAGGATTATTGGACTTGGGAAAACATATAAAATATTGACACAGCCACTGAATCACACAGAGACAATTCTGTCTTCAGACATTGCATTTATTTGTTTTATGCTTGTTAACTTCAGGAAATGTATCATTTCAAGATAGTCACATACCATGGGCCTTATTCATGAGGAAGCCATTTTGGTCGTGTTCCCTGAATGTATTTTATAAATTGTGGACTGTTGAATGGGATGGTGCTAGACTATTTGTTTACTATAGCCTCACTTTCATTTTTTTTTTAATTTGGCTTCAAACGTTAGGGCATGGTTCATCACAAATTCTAAATTATTCATCAGAGCTGACTGGTATAAATTTTTTATTAACTTTATGTCATTGCTTTCATTTCTCTTGGCAAGTTCCAAAAATGAAGATTTAACCTCACTTTCAATTTAATATGGCCGATTCATGAATGAAGCCCATAACTCATAGGGTGAGGACAAAACAAATTTAATACATTTTTATTAAGGATCAAAATAAATCTGAAATAGCTTTTCACTACAAATTTGTGAGGCTTAACTTTTTTATTGCTGGCAAGAAGTAAATGCAGTATTTAAATAAGGCCAAACAAAATATTTCTGTTTCCGATTTCATGGCATTTGAAATAGGCTAGGTAGGTAGGGAATTATTTTTTTGCAATTAGTTTGTTTTGATCACATATAGGTGTCTGCCTGTAGCCGACTGAGGGTAAAAGGTAGTAATGGATGGTTTTGGAGTTTTTTTCGTTTTTTTTCCAAAACAAAATTAGGGTCGGACTGTCAAAATAGGGTAGGTAGGGTAACTGGACGCAGAATTATTATTTTTGTTTGGCCTATATATATGTCATACACGAGGTCACACTTCTCACAAAGAAAACAGAGTATACTTGTATAACATGGTGTGAGGGTTGGAAGGCGATATTAGTTCCCCTCGGTATTGGAAATTGAGAAAATATATTGGAGGCTATTTCCACATATATGTACAATACTTGGTCACTAAAGTGTGCCGTGCATCTAAAAAAAAGTACAACAAATAGTAATATTTCTCTGTTTATATAACTTTAAAGTGTGGAGATAGTTTCTCATCCCCAAGGACAGTTTTCATAGTTATTTATTTTCAAAAATAAATGAAATAAATAAAGGTTTATCAGGAAATGGAAGAGTTGTAACTCCTTATGTTGGTGTCCTTATTTTTTTTACTCAAATTAATTTATAAAAATTAATTCCTGTGTCCAGTGGTCATAAATTATCTCTGTTGTCTCTTACCATGTAAATACACATGAGAAACAATGAAAACATCAAAGGTATTAAATAAGAAGCTTATTCAATCATCCAATTTTCTCAGGAATCATGGTTGATTCAGGAAGGTTTCAAAGATAAATGCTTAGGGAGTTGGGTTTAGAGACAAAATATGAAGCAATACTAATACTAGCAATAATAGCTCTACAAAAGTATGGTTTGAACTTAAGTGTACATGAGATCTACATTGTACACGTACATGTATATTTGTGATGTATATTTACATGTACATGTAGATATCAGGAATAAAAGATGATTTTCAGTAATATCAGTGTTATTTATTCCTCCATCTGTGTAGAGCAAAATGTGTACTTGTCAGTTTCCCTGTAAAAATACTTGTCTAATACTGCTTTCCTAAAGTGATGATCAAAGAAGTACTGTAATTTTGTTGTTGCTTCTTCGATGAATTTATTATTGCGTTGAATTCGCATTATTCTCACATCTTTAAATGTCCACACTATAAAATCACACCATTGTCTGTCGGTACAGAGCATGTTCCCCTGAACTTGATAATAGTAGTTATGATTCTCCTTCAGAGCCAATTCACCCAAAACATCATATTTCAAGTAAGGAACATCTGCTGGAGATATTTCAAGATCTTTACAAGTGTATGGACATTTGACCTCAATAATGCCCTCCCTGCCTACAAGACCATCTGGGGAACAACCCAAGAATGGGTGCTCTGCACATACGTGTATGCCACAACTGTCAACCTTGTTACCTGTTTCAGTGCAATAGTCTTTTACTGCAATAGACTCATATTTTTTCCCATGTTCGGTGTATTTACTAGTGAAAGTCTCAGTTTTGGTGAGTGACTGTGCCATTTTAGTCAAATCTGTTCTGGGTCCTGCCTTACAAATTCTGCCGAAGTTGGAGGCATGTAGACGCTTTGTTCTCTCTTCTGTCCACACTTTATTTGCACTCTGCCCTCGTGTAGCCTCTTCGGTCATTGCACAGGTTTCCTCACTGATGGTAATCACATCCAATTCATCAAGAAAGTACTCTTCAAGAGTTTTCTCTAGATAATCATGGTCATTATTGATGGCCATGATGTTTGCTGGTGCATATACTTGCCGGATTGGTAGATCTTCTGTTTGAGAGTTGAGCCAGACGCTTCTGAATGAATCTGGATATCCAGGCCTATTTCTGAATTCAACCGGCCTGGGATCAAAGTCCTTAAGATCATGTAGGTTGTTTTTTTTGCGTAGCTTCAAATCCTTCATCAAAACTGGTGTGCCAGTATATTTCTTTTGATGATGAAATGTTTGCAGCTTTGCAGTACATGTGTCCTTGGTTATGATGCCCTCCTTTCTTTTAGAAAGAGCAAAGAGTACTACAGCTACATGCTTGCAGTGGGCCTCCGGTCCCAAGCCAACAGCACATTCACATTGGGACTCTTCAACCACTCCATGTTTGTTTATCTTTATATCGACCTTATATATCACCTTTGTTTTCATTTCCGCGGAAACTCTGCCAATGAAGTACACAGTTTCATCTTGGTTGCAGTAGCGTACTGACTGCAGAAATTTCCCGTAGTAGAGTGCCTCTGTCTTCTCTTTCAAATTTTGCCCATGAAGCTCGTGAAAGGTTGTGATGCTATCTGCTGTTACCACTGGAATCTGAAATTTGACAAGATGACAGTTGTGTAAAAACCAAAACAATTCAGCAGAACTCAAAGGAAATTAAAAAACAAATATGATAAGCCATTGTTTTGCAATCCATACGAGGAAAGAACCACAGCGCAAACCCGAGTGCGACCAGTAGACCTGAATCTTACCACGTCAAGGCAATGAACACATGCCAAGCCACTCTTTTGTCAGATATCCATGCCAGCAGATAACAAAATGGAGAGGCTGTTTTGATTTAAATGATGACAATGTTTACTTTTTGACTATTTACAATTTGCATGCTTTATCACAACACACGAGGGCGCTGCTATGATTGCATTAATAAAACACCTCCAGATTTGCATTTAAGAACTGATGGTATCAGTAGAATTTAAAAATCCTATTTCCAGGTGTAATATACACACATACCTTACTGTCGGTGTTGATGTCCTTGTAATCTGTTGGTTTAGGTGTGGTCATCTGAAAACCCCTCTCATCTTCACACTGGATACACGTATGGCCGAAGTTGAAATTCCTGTCATAACTTTCCAGTCTGAAATCAAAGCATTTGGAAATTTAGATAACTTGAAAAATTTTGATTTTCGTATGATTCGATCCCAACACATCAATTTTCAATTGAGATGTCTAAAGAAAAAAAAAATACATCAACAAACATATTTGAGGAGTAGGCCTTTCGGTCAAGGTCTGAGGTTAAACTTAGGGCCTGGGATTAAGCCTAATTTTATGTCACAAATATTTTTGTTGTGCTCCACACAAAAATTCCTTTTTAAAATTAGGCCTAGCCAACAGACCAGTTTAGATCTGTCACTATAAATTGAAATAGCTGCTGCTAGGCTACTAAAACTTTAAGTAGCAGCAACTATTTAATGTGCTAGACATCACTTGACACCCTGCATGCCCTGTGGCTGTGCACAAACATGACAAACCTTGAGCCTGAGGCTAGGCTACATGATCATGCATGTACAACAGTACATGTGCATGAATGATGATCATGATGAGACTGGTCTGAAAATTTGTGTTTTCTCAGTAAATGCTTCAATATTTTCCCTGCTTTTCCCTAAATTTTTAGGACATTTCTGATGGCTGCTATTAAAGTCATTGAAGGGACAAATTAGTGATGGCCAGATATGGGAATCTTTCCGATTGAGTTTATAAAATACAGATGATCGGCCATCAGTCATGTCAGTGGCCATGCTCCCATGCAGTATTGTTGATGTATGCCCCTAGGCGCGGCCCCTACCATGGCGCGGCCCCTACCATGGCGCGGCCCCTACCATGGCGCGGCCCCTACCATGGCGCGGCCCCTACCATGGCGCGGCCCCTGCCATGGCGCGGCCCCTGCCATGGCGCGGCCCCTGCCATGGCGCGGCCCCTGCCATGGCGCGGCCCCTGCCATGGCGCGGCCCCTACCATGGCGCGGCCCCTACCATGGCGCGGCCCCTACCATGGCGCGGCCCCTACCATGGCGCGGCCCCTACCATGGCGCGGCCCCTACCATGGCGCGGCCCCTAACATGGCGCACTTTGATTTTTCGCCTCTAGCGCCTTGGTAACGTTAGAGCAAAAGTATTAACTGAAATTTCACAGAAAGTGAAATTTTATCAAGTTCTAAACACTCCCATCTACCTGTTACAAAGTTAGAAGAAAAATGTATTTCGGCGTGATTTTTCCGATTTTATATCGAAGTGCACAGTGAGTGAACCATTTGAAAATGTCCCCCAAAAATGAGAAAATAATTTTCTGACAAACTTCTAGTTGGGCACGTGGAGCCTCATAATTCTGAGGAGAGAAAATAATGGTTTAGCCTATTAGTATTACAATTTATCAACTTTACCGAAATTCTTAAATATTATTTTGGAAATTTTCCGAGAGTTATTGAAGTGCACCACGTAGCCTACGTTCGGGAACACTCAGCCGATTTGTGCCCAATTTCCGGCCCAATTCAGATTTTGAATTTCGGATTGAAAATTTCATGACACCGAAATTGTTCACAGACGTTCAATAGAAAGCATTGTGCCAGTAAAAACAGTACCAGTATTTCAGTTATTGAATTTGAAGTTGTCAACAAAGAAGTTTGGCAACAGTGATGTGGAAAGTCGGGGTAAACGTCGAGAGAGAACATGACGAGTCTATATCACAACTTGTACAGTTGTAGGCCTAGGCCTACTCGTACTACTATTACTAGTGTTGAGGAACCAAATAAACCCACCTTGTGACAAGTTCATGTTTTCTTCCTGACTGTTTCGCGTTTCGTTTTCTCAGCTCTGCCCTCAGATCTTTCAAGGTCATTGAACCATAATCAGGATTAGGCCTAGCAGACATCATGATGATGATAGTCGATACGAGCAGATGGCAGATGTCGATGCGATGGCAGACGATCCGACGCACTCACGCAGCGACGTACAAATTTGCCAAAACTTATACTAGTAATAGTTCCCGCGCGAAAAATTTACCCGGTAGGTCTGCTGCCCTCTATTGACGGAGATCTCAGAAAGTCTCCCATAGAGGGTGCTGTTGGAGCTACCGCGGAACATTTTGGGAAAAAAAAAAGATTGACGCGCATGATTAAAATCGACGCGCGCGCTGACCAGAGACCGACTTATTATTTTTTTTGGCCTTACATCAGTGGAGTTGGTGGCGATAGTGTGGAGTGCTGTGGTCCAATGGTTACGGTGTTCGACTGAGATGCAGGAGTACGTGGGTTCGAACCCTGACGGGGAGCATGGTGCTTGTGCTCTTGGGCAAGACACTTTAGTTCAATTGCCTCTCTCCACCCAGGAGCATAAATAGGTACCTGTGAGGGTAGAGACCAGAATGCGCTGATTCGAGCTGCTGCAAACTCTGGTCTCACGACCTGACGAACAGGGGTAATTATTGTAAAGTGCTTGGAGACCTTTGATATAAAGCGCTATATAAGCACCACATTATTATTATTATCATTGTGACAATAACGATGGCAGTGGCTATGAAAGTGACAGCTACAGTTATAGTGATGATGGGAGTTACAGTAGCGGTGACAGTACCAGTGACTACAGAAGCGACAGTGACATTGACAATGGTGCAGAAAGTGACCGTTCCTGTGACTACAGTGACAGTCACAGTGACAATTGGGGTGACAATAACAATGATGGTGACTGTGACAATGGAAGTGACAATGACACTGAGAGTGACAAGGGTGATGAAAGTGACCGTGACATATTGATGACAACAATAATGGTGACTAAGATAATAACAGTGACAATGTCAGTGGTGATTACAGTGATAATCAAGATGATGATGATCATTTTTAGTGCTGGTGGTGTTGACAGTGGTATTGGTCATAATGACAATCACATGGACAATAATAACCAAAGTTATGTCGATGGGAGTGACATCAGTTATAGAGTACCAAAGTCTGACATCAGCTGTCTTTGTTCTGGTTCACACGCTGGTTCAGGCGATGAAGTCTTCTCACACTTAAGCTATGCGTGTGAAACAGAATACGTGGCACACTTCAGCACTCTGTAAGTGATTGGGATGATGGTGATAAAAAGGACAAAGACAACAACAGTGAACAATTTTTTCAAACTTTGTTTTATCTAAAAGATTTACCTGTTTCAGCGAATTACAGGGATTTAAAGGGAATATACAACATTTGCAAACATCGAAAAATAAAACTACCAAGTTTTTACAAAATACCTTACTAGGATGTTGGTTAATGACAGTCTCAAGCATCTTGTAAAATTATGGCACCTGGTGTGAAGTAATTTTCAAGAAAATGGTATTTTTGTATACATTTCCAACGGTGGTCGGCCGATCAGCGTTGGACAAACCTAACTATTTTTCAACTACTGCTCCAAATTGACAATTTTTTCAGTCCAAATTTTGTTTGCTATTGGTTACATGTTCATGAACGGGTGCAGGCCAGCTAGACTGGTTCCATTGCCTTACAATTTTCCATCATCTATAAATTGATCCATTTTATCTTTTGTGGTGTCAGGGAACCAGACTACTTGAACATTTTTGTTTTTCTTGGTTTTTCCAACCTTTTCGAACACAAAACTTCAAAAATGTCAGTGTAACAATATTTGATCTATTATACTAACCCCTCAAATAGTTCATTTCTGAAAATTACAGCAAAAGCCAATGATGTACATTCCCTTTAACAACTTCTTTTTGTTGTTTCCTTTCACCCAGTTGATTCCAGGCAACCAACAGCAACGACGAATATGCACCCAGTGCCAGAGCCCACAGCACAACCCCCGACACAACCAGTGAGAGACGACGCCTCTATCTCCACCAGCCAACCACATGTCATGATAGATGCCCCAGCGCATCACTTCTCAATCTCTATCGATCTCCGCAGCATTAAAAATGTTGAAACCACCACAAATTTGAATATTTATTTAAGGTGAGATTAAATTCATTTACTCTGTTCTAGTCATGTGAGCTTGGGATTGGCTTTGCAGTAAAGCTATTCACCCAATAAAGATTCACTTAGGCCTAAAACGAATTCTATTTATTTTCACAAAACTCTTTCCTCCTGTTTATTCTGTCTGTTGTAGTTGGTGTGTATTGTTTTTATTGTCTATGTATTTAAAAAAAATTAATTTATACTTATTTTTCTGGGTTCCTGGCAGTTAAATTGCTTTACATGCCTATTTGTTTCTCTTTTCTGTTTCTGTTTTTCACTTTTCCGGTAATGTTCTTCGTGCAACAGGTTGTCGATTGTCATGTCTATCTGCCTTTGTCATTTTTTGTTCTGCTATAAAACTCTCATTAACTTGAAACTCTGTATATTTCGAAGTAATACTCCATTCCCCTCATGTGAATAGGATATTTTGTACATGAATACCCCGGTTACTCAAAATGCCCTCACGGTTGATCTTGAACTGTTGTTCGGCCAGTCTATAGAAAACACTACCAAAACAGTCGCAAAGAAGCGTAAAAAAGATTGCGATACTTTTTTCATGAGTCATTACTGCTCAACGCACTTTGTCTTTTCGTGTGGGGATACAGCGTGCATGCTGCATTGTGATTGGACTCCAGCCCATTACTGCAACAAATCTTGGCTTTGACTTGACAAGAGTTTACTGTATTTGTTTTGGGTCTTTGTCTAAATCACTTTATATATTTGTATTTCCTTGCAGGTACCTGTATCCCTTTTTCGGGAGTGTGTCTCCCATCCTGACCCACCCACCCATCGAGGTGCGACGTCACACCGAGGTCCTCCTACCCCACTCCTACTGCTCCTTCAACCTGGCTGCCACCGTGCAGCAGCTCCAGGAAACGCTGCTCAGGTTAGTGGCCGGAAAACAAACAAATTGTTTTACTTCCTTTGAAAAATGAAATCCTTTTGGCACCCATTCAAAGCAATGTTAAAAAAAAAGCAATTGGCAGAGGTACTTGTTCACATAGTAACACAATGACAGTGTACCATAGTTTGTTCTGTGCTACTACCAAACTCTACATTTTTTTTACAAATTTATATATACAGTTACTGCTAGATCCTTTTTCCCATGAACTCTGCATTACCAGGTGCAGTGACCAAGATTATTTTAGGCCAAGTAAAAAAAATAAACAAGTTTTTTGTCCCGGCCCACTTCCTTTTTTCTCGCCCGCCGCCTCTTTTTTTTTAATATTGTTTTTTTCAATTCATACATTTGCTATATTTTGTAATATATTGTCAATATATTGTCTTTTTAGTTGTTTCCAACAGAATTGTAGCAATGTAGAAAGGGTTATGGCTCCATTAGAAACAATTTTGTATCAGCAAAAGAGTTGAGAAAATGGAAGAATGTATCCGCCATCTTGGAAAATCCTCCATTTTTGAAAAAAAAAAAAAAAAATACCCTCCTCCTTTATTTGTTCAAAAAGCCCAGACGACAAACTATCTTATTTTTGTTCAGCCTTAGAAATTTGCCCTTCACATACATAGTTTTGTATCCTCAGAGTGGATGGGGAGCGTGTGGGGAAAATATCCATTCATATTGAACCCAGCAATATATACTTAAAAATTGACATTTCTTTGTGCGAAGTATAATCCCTAATCCCTAACTTAGATTATATGTTTAGCTAGGCACAGACGAGGGCCTGCAACTACATGTAGCTACAAAACAAATACTGCTTGGCATGTATATTTGCTGTGCACAAAAATCTGCAACCTAAATCCAATGACAAATCAGCTGGTAACACTTTCTTGCTCCAAAAATATTTTGTTTGCTCTACAAATTCCTGTGTTTGGCAGATCCATAAAATTGGCCGCCAGCCCCTAAGGACTCTCTTGTGTGAAAGATATGTCAGCAGCGTATTGATTTCTATGGACTGATATTTGTCCAGGGTTCCTTTGCTGGTGGAAGTATGGCACAGAGACAGGATGACCAAGGACCAACTACTGGGAGTGGCCAGGGTGCCTCTAGCTGGCGTACTGAGGGCTGAGAAGGCTAGAATAGCCGTGAGTATTACTGACATATCGAGTAAGAATCTGGCTAGTTTGGTCATTGTCCCTTTTACCTTTTGCCGTGTAAAGTAAGTAATGTAAAGTCTGTCAAGAACCAATTATGATGACATTCATAGTAAGTTGACTAGAGACGCTCACGTGTTTACAATTAGGTATGCAAGCATACATTCTGTGCCAAGTAGTCATTTCAGTCGCAATCAATCAAGTGACTGTTTTCAACAGTTAAAAATTCCCAGCCCACATAAAGCAGGATTGACTGGCTGGGACTGTTTATGTACCTCAATGCAGCTTTGCTTTGGCTGTGGGTAATTGATAAGCCAGCTGTGCCCACAACTTGCCTGCTTTGTCTGTTTATGGTCTGTTGACTGGGTTTGACTAGTCACAGTGCTTGCCTAACATGTGATCTGGCTGCTGGTGACTAGCCTGTGTTAAAAGTGTAGCAGGGGAAGTGGATGGACATTTTGACTGTCTGTGACTGTTTAAATAGCAGGAGGGTTAGTGGCGCAAATAGGCCTGTTGCAACCCTAAGTTTGTTTCACAGATGTGTTCGTGGTCATTATTCCCCTAGTCTATCCAACCTGTGTCCTGTCTTTCCGTCTGCTTTCATACATATGCTGTTGCTAATTACCTAGATGTAGAACAAAAGGCTATTCCCATCACTTTTTCCCACGTGCTGCATCTGTTTGGAATTTCTTGCCTGGTGCTTGTTTCCCTCCAACATGTGATCTGTTCTGTTTCAACAGGAACTTCAGTTTTCCTGAATACATAATCTTTCTATTTCTCTACCTTGATTGGCTTCTAGCCTCGTTAAGGGAAAATAAACATACAACAGTTGTTATGTCACAAATTAACCACTAGTCAACAATTTATTTTATTTTATTTCTTTCTGGTAATGAAACCAAGGATTCCTCAAAAGTACCCTAAGCACTGTAGCTCGAAAGCCTGAAGAAACCTGTAGAGAGAAGACAATGAGAAGAAGTTACAGTTTTAGAGGTGGGAGGAAAAGCCCAGAGGACTAATCTGAGGAAAGCCCACGGAATCAGGTAGGGACTGAAAACCCAATCCACATATTGGCCCAGGTGGGATTCGAACCCGGGTCACAGTGGTGGAAGGCAGGGAAAGAACCGCTACGCCAACAATGATCCTCAGTCCAACTGGTTCCATATTTGCGGGTCAGGTCTTCAGTCAAATACATATCCGTCAAGTTTTAGGATGAGAGTGTGTGTTGATTATCAGAGTTGGGCAGATTCCAAGGTAGTTAGCACAACACAAAATTAAGTACTTTGTGTTCTCTGTTATTTTTTTTATTTGATATTTATTTAAAACCAGACTCCAAGTTCCGGTGGGGCAGAGGGCACGAGACAAATCCACAGTGAGAGAGTGACAGTCGAGACTGCATCAGACGGACAGCCAACCAGACTGGCTGAGATGCACGTTGTGTTGGGATTGGAAGATTATGGACCAATCAGAGCTCAGCAGGTCCTCATGGGGTCAGAGGTCAGAGATTGAAATAATTCCTCAGCTGCACCAAATTTGATCTGTTTTTGTTATTTGCTGGTTTTTTTTGGTTTCAATTTCTATATCCATTATTAAACAATCCAACAGCGATATCATTGCCAATTACAGCATAGGTATTTATTCGCTCTTTTCACACTCTCGCCATGGGCATGCAGAGCCTCGATCTGGCAACTTGTCACAATAAATACAGCCGGTTCAGTGATTCCCGTGTCGGGGTTCAGATCACTGAACTGGCTATTTTTATTGTGTAAAGTTGCCAGATCGAGGCTGTGCATGCCCATGGCGGAGCGTGAAAAGAGCGAAACGAGAAACATATTGACACAAAACAAAAACTCACAAACGAACAATTACGTTTCAAAGAGAAAATTGAATAAAGAGACTTAAGGTGCCAGGTTCAGAAATTGAGAAAGCTGACATCCTTATCACTGAGTGCCAGGTGACGGGATCTCCATCTGAGATAGGGACTGTTTAGGCATTCTTGAAATAGTTCACTGTTCCAAGTATACACTTTCGATTTTCGTGCAAAAAAAGCTTTGCCATCAAACTGTAGGTCAGCCATATTATGGCAACTGTAATTCCTCATTCATTTGGATTGGAATTCCTCTCCGTGTCATCTCTTGCAGATGACATCGAGTAGTTCCATGGCCCCACCTCCCCAGCATCGTCGGGCTCCTCCCCCTGGCCCGCCCCCAGCCCAGCAGGCCCCGCCCCCAGACCCAAGGGAGACGGCCGAATACAAGGCAGCCTTGGAGCTGGAGATGTGGAAAGAACAGCATGTACGAGACTTTGAGAACCAGGTAAATAAAAGTCACAGAGATTCTCAACGCTGCAACCAAAACAAAACAATTTTCAGATCTCTAATCCTTAACTCCTCGGGCACATTCCCGCTGGAAATTCTCCTGAATCCACTCAGATTTGGTGCTGGGATGGGGGCTTTCAGCCAGTTTAGTAGTTCAGTGCATCGAAAGATCTTCAGAAGTCCAGACACAAGTATGTCACAAGTCACTTAACAACTTTGGTCAAAGGTAACAAGGCCATGAACAATAACAAAGAAATGCCAGGTCGGTTGAATATTTTGTGACTGGATTTGGAACTGGGAGGACTCGTGATGGACTTGTGAAGACTTGTGATGGACTGGACTTCTACGCTACTTTAAAGGAAATGTACATCATTGGCTTTTGCTGTAATTTTCAGAAATGAACTATTTGAGGGGTTACTATGATAGATCAAATATTGTTACACTGACATGTTTGAAGTTTTGTGTTCGGAAATGCTGGAAAAACCAAGGAAAACACAAATGGTGGAGTAGTTTGGTTCCCTGACTCCACTAAAGATAAAATGGATCAATTTATAGATGCCAGAAAATTGTAAGGTAAGGGAACCAGTCTAGCTGGCCTGCACCCGCTCATGAACATGTAACCAATAGCAAACAAAATTTGGAATGAAAAAAAAGGTGAATTTGGAGCAATAGTTGAAAAATAGTTAGGTTTTTCCAACGGTAGTCGGCCGACCACCGTTGGAAATTTATACAAAAATACCATTTTCTTGATAATGACTGCACACCAGGTGCCATAATTTTACAAGATGCTTTAGACTGTCATTTACCAACATCCTAGTAGGGTATTTCGTAAAAACTTGGTAGTTTTATTTTTCGATGTTTGCAAATGTTGTATATTTCCTTTAAGTACCAACTAAGGTATCCTGACATTTTCCATTGCGCTTGGCAGTATCAGAAGGAAGAGTTAAGATTATTTTGCATTTTTCCGTTCTGATACATTATCTTAGAATCTTTCTCTCAGGAGAACGCCACTGTTCCACATCCTTAATTTTGTGGCCATTTTGTCATGAGATTTTATTGGAGTTTGGATTGGAATTTTGACGGAATGATATCTTTCTGTGTCTTAGCTCAAAGAGAAGGAACTGCAGCACCTGAAATCCCTGACAGAGGAGTGGAAGCGGAAAGACAGGGAGAGGGAAGCACTCATTGAGAAAAAGGTAACTTTCTCTTGAAACTGGATCGTTTCAAGTGCCATCGTGTTTCTGATATCTTTTTACACCATAAAGCAGGTTGCGTTAACTGGACTAGGACAGACACGTCGCTAAAAAAAACGTGTAGTGGTGGTTTTACAGCACAGTTTACAAAAGTCATTCGCTGCTTCACAATTCCATCAGCTGTTGGAAATCTGAGCAATTTTTTCTCTAATCCCGCAAAGGTACCTACTTATACACCTTGGTAGTGAGAGGCACTTGTGGTAAAGTGTCTTGCCCAAGAACACAAGTAGTATGAAGTTTGTTGTGGTTTGAACTTACATACTACTGCATGTTAGTCGTACGGCATGACTGTTGAACCATGGTGTATTGGACCAAAGTACTCGTCCATGAAAAAAGGAGCCTCATGCATGAAGTTAATAGTGTCAGCAAAAAAGTCTGTGAAATGAGACCTTAATCTTTCTCCTTTTTTCCCCCTCAAAGCTGAAGGAGCACACACACTTGGAGACCCAGCTGCGCAGCGCCTTCGCTGACATTGAGAAACGTGAACGCCAGCTGGCTGCCAACGAGGCGGAGGTGATGCGTCTCCGTGGCGACATGCAACGAGAGCAAGAGAGGCAGATGACGGAGATGAGGGAGGTGTCTCGGAGGATAAAGGAGGACCACATCGCTCAGATGGAGATTGAAAAGTGGGTGATGTTTTCTTGGGTTTTTTTTTTCACTGTACTTTTAAGCCATCAGCACCTGTACTACATTGTGTTACATTGTATTACGTTGTATTACATTGTCCATAAAACCATAGAATGCTGCGGTTTGGGTTAGAAATGAGGAGTAACAGGCAGTGCAGTTTGGGATGATGCATGAAGTTTATTTGGTTATTAAGCACTAGCATTGGCCAGGGTTGTGAAATTTAGCTCATGTCATGGTTGGCAGATGGGGAAGTTTGAGATTTCTCTTGTTCATCACTTTCTTTAGTAAACTCTTCATCTGATGTTGGAATGCTCTTTGCTGTGCTAACGGTCTCTGTGAAATTGACAAAGGCTCTTTTTGCAGAAAATTGTGTGCTGAGCAGCACCACGAAATCGGCCCGATGTTGCGTTACAATCAGAATCATAGTCAAGTTCATTACAAGCCAAATCACAAATCCTCAAAGTCACATTTACAAGTCCAATTATTTTCTTGAGATTGACTTTTGAGCATCGTTAGGCCTAGACCACAGCTTGGTACATAAGACACACCAACACCCTTCCTTCATGAAATGGTTCAATTAAAGAATGCCCTCCTGTCCGTCGTTTCTCAGGTCCAAGGTTCGATTGCTGGAGGAGGAGAAGCATCACCTGTCTCAGCTGCTGAGCCAGGCCCAGGCTCAGCTACAGGAGAAGGACAGGGAGTTCCAGGCCTACAAAGACCAGATAGCCACCAAGCCGGAGGTCAGACTGCAATCCGATCTCAGTCTGCTCAAACTGGAGAAGGTAACTTGCAATTTTTGTATTTATTATTTTTGTTTGTCTGTGGAATTTATTTCTGAGTTTAGGTATCTTTTTGGGATCATCTATTTTATGTTCACAATGGGTTCAAAAAGAGAGTGCCGTGCTATTGAATGGTTTTAAAGGGCTCGTGGCGTTAGTTCCCCTCCTGTAGTCAATGGGCAAATAGTTACAATGTCTCATGGTGCTTGTGTTCTTGGGCAAGACACTTTACTACAATTGCCTCTCTTCACAGGTGTAAGAATAATATTGTTGAACTGCTGCATAAAGTCGATATGGCCTGATCAGTACGGACAGTGAATCTGAAGTTTATTTGGGCGTAATGTCTGTCTGAAGCCAATATTTAGTATTCATCATCGCCAGGCATGTGTTTATGACCAGTTTTTGTAGGACAAAAAGACAGAACATATGTGATGCAATCAAGCTACATGCGTCGTTGGTCGACCCTGGTCAAAAAATTTTTTTATTACAGATTTGAAAAGAGCACAATCTCAGCATTACTGCTATCAAACCGCATGCGGATACCATCCTTAGTTAAAAAATTATGAGAGTTGGAACACCCAGAGATGCAATGAAGTGATGTGATGAAGTGACCCTATTTTGGCCTGTATCTCTAAATAAGAATTCCCGACAAACGACTCATTTAGCTTGATCGCATCACATATTTCGTTTCCCATCAGATGAGATACCAGTCCATTCCAGATTACTCCCCAGCTAATGCCAGTACCCATGTATACTCCTGGATGGAGAGAAGCAAGTTGGGTCAAGTGCCCTGCCCAAGGACACAACAGATTACCAGCAGCCGGATTCGAACCCCCGACCCTCTGATCTTAACTCAAAAACCCTTACAACTAAGGTCACTCAACCCGATAAATAAAGTCACAATTTGTTTTCCAACAGGTCGAGCTGGAGCGAAAACTGGAATCAGTGACCAAATCCAAGCTGCACTACAAGCAGCAGTGGGGGCGGGCCCTGAAGGAACTGGCCCGCCTCAAGCAGCGAGAGCAGACGGAGGCCAAGGCGCGGCTGAAGAGAGAACAGCAGGAGCTGGAGCACATGAGGCTGAGATATCTGGCTGCCGAGGAGAAGGAAGTGGTGAAATCGGAGAGGCAGCAACTGGACGAGATCAAGGGAGAGCTCAATAGGTACAATTGGAAGAAAACATATTCACCCCACAGATTGTTTTTATTTTCAAATCAAACCACAAAGTGAAACTGACAAGGTGCGTTTTGTTTTAAAGTCGAAAAAAGGAATTGACTTGAGTGGGGTTTGAACCTGCAACCTCCGGATTACCGTTCCGGCGCTCTACCAACTGAACTATCCCCACTTTGTCAATGTCTTTGTTCAAGCGGCGCTTGTTAGAAGCCAAACCCATATATGCCATGTAGCCAGGGATCACGCCCAAAGTCATGATGCTGCTGGCAACTTTTTTTTTCATTCTTGGCATTGATTTGAGTCAGAAATTATTATCTTAAAACTTCCACCCTTCTCTTTGCAGATTGACAAATGAAATCCTACTCTTGACTTTTGAAATATTTCTCTAATTGTCAGATTGAAGCAGCAAGAACTTGACAAGGAGCAAAAAGCACAGCATCGACAGACCTCACCAGCTCAACCACCAGCCCCTCAACCCCAAGATCACAAGGAGAATGTGCAACCCCCAGGGGTGGGGACGATGGACCCAGGGGTAGAGGCCCATGTGGCTAGGCTCATCGAGGAGCGAGATACCTTGCTAAGGACCGGGGTGTACACCCACCAGGACCGGATCATCAGTGAACTGGACAGGCAGATCAGAGAGTCCATAGCGAGGGGCCAGGCTGTTTAGGGTCCCTTGATTGCCGATAGTGGAGAATGGTGGCGGAGTGATTAGGGTACCAGAACCAGTTGTGTTCTTGGGCAAGGTACTTGACTCTAACTGTGTCTGTCCACCCAGAGGCAAATGGGAGTAAATGCAGATCAGAGAGTCAAGAAACAGGGGCCAGGCTGTACGGTCCACTGCTTGCTGAATGCAGAGGAGCAGTGTGGAATGGATAGGGTACCAGACTTACATCTGTGTCCCCAAGCAAGGTACTTGACTGTAACTTTGAAGCAAGTGTTTGCAAATGCAGATCAGAGAGTCCAGAGCCAGGGGGCAGGCTGTGATTTGTCCCCTGCTTGCTGAATGCAGTGAAGCATTTTGGTGGAGTGCTCTTGGTACCAGACTTGCATCAGTGTCCCCTAGCAAGATACTTGACTGTAACAAATTCCATCCACCATTGAGGGGGTTAGGAATCAGACCCCCTTGTTTTCCATGAGCAAGATACTTGACTGTAACTGCATCTGTCTACTGATTTAGTGGATAGGGTACCGGACCAGCTTGTGTCCTTGAGCAACGTACTTGACTGTAATTGCCCTCTCTTTCCATTTAAAGAGAATGGAAACAAGCTAGTTTTGCCTTTTTAAATCTGGTTTTCACATATTAAACAAACTGAAATAGCTTGTTTTCTTTTTGCAACATGCAAATTTGACCTGTTACTTTCACAAAAGTTTGAACCGTTTGCAGATTTGTTTTCAACTTCTCAGACTTCACTTCTCATGTCCTCAATTTTTGAGCAAGGGTTGAAGAGACTGAGACTTCACTTTAGGAAATGTTGGCTTTTGTTAAGCTGACCAGGGGTGTAAAAGCCCCCAAACGGGGAAAACATTGTACAGTTTTACTATTTATCATATAATTTGCAGTAGAATGCAGACTATGTGGGTGAATTTCGTGCATCTAAAATATTGATTATTATTATTATTAAAAATAATCATTTTTGTAGAGAGGAGACAATGAGAAGAAAGTACAGTTTTAGAGGTGGGAGAAAAACACCAGAAGAATATTCTGGGGGAAAACCCACGGAATCAGGCAGGGACTAAATAGCCAATCCACATATTGGCCCAGGCAGGATTCGAACCCAGGTCACAGCGGTGGAAAACGAGGAAAGTACCACTATGCCAACCTGACTCCCCCAGTGAACGTGTAACGTTGGAAGTGAAAGTGTATGAAACATTGAATGAATTATTACACATTCTGGCCAGTTCATACAAAATATATATATATGCAGATTGTTATGAGGACAACATTTTCCATTTGTGATGTGCTCTTCACGTTTTGATTTTTTCTTGAAGTATGAATGCAACATTTCAAACTTTGAATGTTTATAACAAATGTATCAACAGATGAATTCAAGGTTCGTTGCCCATAAAAGCATTTATGTGTCAACAAACATTTTGAATAGCTATTTTTGTAGTTTTAACTGCATTTTTCTGCAGAAGGTCTGAAAATAAAATGTTTAACTAAAATGTTGCAGGAATGTAAATAAAGCTAATGGCTAGAATTGAGAACCTTCATTGCTGTGTGATGTAGTTTTGTGTGGTTTTGGTCTTTACTCATGGGGCAAGAAATTACCCTTTTTAAGTATTTTGAAGATTTCTTTTTCCCATTTCCAGATTCAACCAAAAGCCTTAAAAGCAATTTAAAGATATATGAATTATTATTACGCTCTGGCCAGTTCACACAAAATATATGCAGATTGTTATGATGACAACATATTCCACTTGTGATGTGCTCTTAACTATTTGATTTTTCTTGAAGTATGAATGCAATATTTCAAACTTTGAATGTTATAACAAATATATCAACGGATGAATCCAATTTTTGCTTGTCCAGTGCCAGTGGGATTGCTGTAACATGATTCCCCTCCCCCCCCCCCCCCAAAAAAAAAGACAAAGATTATGTGGGCAAATTGAAATAGCAGTCCTGATCTTTCATTCACTAAAATTGCTCCGTTATCAAAATAAACAAGTAGAACAGTAAAAAAAGTCGCTAAATTTAAGTGTCCTTGAAAATGCCAGAAGTACGTGATGCACCCCCCCCCCGCCCATTTCCAAACAGCCGAGTGGCGTTCGAATTGAGCCCTCTATCGTCAGCTCAGAGCAATGGATGGGATCGTGTGAGCCGAGTGAGAATGATCAAACTTCGAAGGATTTTAGCTTTTGTCTGATGGCAATTCGGTAAGATTTCATAAGTTTCGTGCTGTTTATTTTGCAGATTTAGGACAAGGCTTTCCATCAATCTATATGGTTTCAAAAGTCAGGTTTTGAAACGGCGGGAAAGGATGTAAAATGAACTTGTTTTGATTGGAAAAAGGTCGCAAACCGGACCACGGACATAATTTTTTAGTGAGGGCGCTATTCAGATTGCCTGTAATTTTTTGTGAAAAATGCAGCGTGCATTTAAAATTTTAAAAGGAAAAACTTGTTATTGTTTGCTCCCGCCTTTGTTTACCCAGAAAAAATTCCGTACTCGGACGTCACTTTTTCAATTAATTTTCTAGCGCCAAAAGTTACATCTTTTACGGTTATTCCTCCACTTTCCCTCCTCTACTCTCACCCTCTCCTTTCCTTAATTTAATCAGTCAGTTACTTCATCGGGATTCGAACCTCTGACGCTTGCTTGATACACGAGACTCTTAACCGCTAGGCCGCGCACGATCGCTGTTGCAATAATCAATATTTGGACGTATTTGAAGGATCCATTGAAATAAACTAAATATTCATGAGAAAATAAATATTCATAATGACGTATTGCACTATCATTGGCAGGCTCATGCGACGTCATGGTTGTTGATGTCACGTGTATCCGTACCGCTGTCTTTCAGCCACTACAATCAGTTTTGACCGGCTGCTTCAAGTTAGTTCTGCACGACGTATGCATCCAAAATGTGCTCTAAAAACACATTTTGAGTAAATTTTTTCCACCTTAACACAGCTTCCTGGATTTCTCTTGGTTCAAATGACAAGGTGAGGTGACAATTAATATGTTTGGCAGCAGATAAATTGACGTCCGAGTATGGAACTTTTCCCGTTTACCCACTTCTCTGCTAGGAAAGATATCCATTCACCCTGTGCACAAACCATGAGGCTGGGCTGAAAATGTCTGATCCACCTTAATCCTGCAGTGCAGGCCTGGCAAGAGCATAGCTTTTAAAAACTTGTAAAATAATGATAGTGGATGTATTGCATGCCTGCAGTGCCGGCGGCAACCCCCATCAACAGAGGGTGCTGTATTCTCTAAGATAGGGCTGAATTATAAGATATAGGCCTAGGCCTATTAAATTACCGCCAACAATTGTGTAGCACCTGTGGCCTAGTTAGTAGTAGTAGTGGATAAGCAACGGATCTCATGAGTGGGAAGATCTGGGTTTGATCCCCGCTGGCGAAATTTTTAAGGTTTTTTTTACCCCATCCCCAAAAATAAGAATATTCTTCTTTTATTATTTTAACAAGTCTCAAACATTTTATTGCAGAGTATTACATTTTCTTTTTCAGATTTGTGGCTCTGGAGGATTTGTTTAAAAGGGAAATAAAGTCCGAAATTGTAAAATGGTCTGATTCCCATCTTGTGAATCTTGTGAAGTTACCACGATAATGTTGGCATGGAGCCAGACTAAATTTGTCACCGGAAAATGTCTAAGTACAAAAAACAGTAGGCCTAACTAACATGTTCAGTGCATACCTGGCAAGCTAGCGTTTACTAAAGGTTTGCCGTCTCCGGCTAAATATCTACTGCCTAAAATAATAGTATCTCCCGCACTCAAGGTGAATATTAAACCGATTTCACTTGAATTCGTGAATTAGTTGAGCTGAAAGCAGCCTGAATGATGTTCGCTATCAGGAACTAGGAAAATGACTGTATGTGTACCGTACCTTCACTACACAATGGGCTCCATGCGTGAACAAGAGAGGGTGTTTTTTTGCCTCTTTTGAGGTCCCATTTTGAGAGTTTTGGCCTATTGGTTCGTGCGTGTATAGCGCAAAGTACTAGGCCTACAAAGTAGGCACGCCTAATATTCTGAATGTGCACAAAGCCATATCGTCAGGTGTCGTCAGCAATGTCAATTTGAATGTTTCTTCGACTCGCTCGGTGGTCTTCCCCAAATCTCCCTTTCTTACCATTGAGGGGGCTACTTATGCATGGAAACCATTCTGATCTGGTAGATATCTGTAAAGGGATCCAGTAGATATTAATTAATGAAATAATTTCTGACTATACAGGTTGAGTCAAAAAAACCGAAACCCAAATGTCGGAACTATTGTTTTAGTGAAGTTCTGCATGTAGCACTTTCAAAATTAAGGATATGAAAGCCCAATTCATAAACTTTGTTGTAGTACAAGAATCATTCAAATCACTCATGTACTTTTTAAGTTACGGAATTTTAAACACAACCACCGTTTTAAGGTTCTGTCCACGTATCTCAAAATAAGTTCAGTGTTCTTTCAGCAAAACGAAAACAAATCACATAGGGATGTGTGTGAATTGTTTTCGTTTTGCTGATAGAATGCACACCTTTTTGTGATCCGTGGACAGAGCTTTAAAATTGTGGTTGTGTTTAAAATTCCATAACTTGAAAAGTACTTGAGTGATTTGAATGATTCTTGTACTAAAAGAAAGTTTATGAATTGGGCTTTCATATCCTAGATTTTCAAAGTGCTACATGAAGAACTTCACTAATACAATAGTCCCGACATTTGGGTTTCGTTTTCTTTTACTCACCCTGTATAGACGCGTCATCTATAGGTCTTTCATCCGAGCTTTGTGACTCAGTATTCGCTAGTCATTGATGAAAATTTTCAATTTTAGTTGTTTGTTTTGTCAGGACAATTGCCTCATGAAATTCACTCCATTTTATTAAATACCTTCTTTCCTGCTGATCTGCATAATGAACAAATTTTCTGTGATTATGTGAGATATTTTATCAATAATGATAATTGTTTTCAACTTCTTGTTTTGTTCATTTAGCTTTTAGTCCAATCCAAAGGATTTTTTTCAAAATTAAATCAAGTATTCAAAGAAAATTATGTTTGTGTTGTAAATGTAACCTCATAACATCGTCATAAGCATGTGAAAACATTTATCCTGATTTTGGAAAATAATTAAAGCCACAATATTTTCCAAAAGTTTGATGAGTAAGTCTTTGGGTTTTTTTAGTAGGCTTGTAAAAAAATAAGACAAGTTGCTCTTGCATTGAATTCATACCTTGTACCAAGGTTTTATCACGGGATTTGCTCCATTGTTTCATGAAAGTGAGACATAATTAAGAAATGGTTTCATTAAAAAAATGATATCACTTAATAATTATGGTGGAAAAGATTCATTGTAAAAAACTGAGATTAATAAATAATTATGTTAGAAAAATCATTGACAAAGGAAAATAAAAAAAGTTCCTCGAGTGATATATGATGTCCAATTTTCAACAGATATTCTCTGCCGTTATTATTCATTCAAGTGCGACTGCCAGCTGCTGTGTAAGATTTTGGTCAACGGAAACAATCTGTGTGAAGGTCTGCATATATATGCATACAATACACTACACACATAGTTTTTTCTTTACGCCGTATGCTCCACATGCGGTATTTCATTCAGATGAGTCAGCGCAACGCCTCCCGGTTCCCAACCCTCCCCCCCCCCTCCCCTTTTAATTATAATGATATCTGCCCTTGCCGGGGTCTCCACACACAGAGTGAGATGAGTTCACTAATTAAATGGGTGATGATCTCACAGACGCAGGAGCCGGGATTTATAAATTGCCAAAGCAGGCACGGTGTCTGTTTAGCTGCCAGATCTTATTATCCGGGCTCGTCCAGC